TACAATAAAATTAGCCATTGTTTTTGCTTGGACAGTTTTTTTGCATAAAAATTTCTTTAAAATTGCACATAATATGTTCTTTAAAAAGTGGTCTTCATAGCTATGTGGGCGCGGATGTGAACATTAATGTTGATGCGTTTAAATCAATCACACTTCTAGACCTTGCAAAAGACGACACTAAATCTCATGGCTGGTTTAGCAAAGAACAATGTTGACTCAAGCGAATAGCTAATAAAGCAATGTTCGTATGTTGGAAAAATTATATTATTTAATATTGAAACTAAAAATGCTAACTGCTCACGGTCAGCTAACCAAAACGCCTTTTTTTATATTTGTACCATGGCTTTATTTTTACAGCGTCCATCTGCAATTCCTCCATTAGCACATTGCCTGCACCCAAGAAATTGGCCATTGCATCTTCAGAGGTTAGATCGAGTCCTTTATAATGTTTGTCCGCCTTCTCAACGTTGCTAAAGCAAAATAACATTTCAAGAGTAGCAATTAGTGCGCTATTCCATGCATTTCAAATATTAAATAATATACAATGTGGCAAAACTTACCGAGAATCGTCATAGCACCTGTCATAAATGCGAAATGGCTTGGGACCTGCTGCCATTGGTGGTTTCAAACCAGGCACAAACAGCCTGAGCGTTGCATGATCTGAATACATGTCATCCACGGGCGTAATAGAGCAGGCTACTCGTGGATCAATAAGAAGCTTATGCGGCACCAGAAAGAGATCCAGGCGTGATACTGGACCTTTATTTGGGTCGGTTCTTGTAAACATTTCATGCTGCGCCTTGACACGTTTGCCATTATTGTATACAGCTCGCCCCCGTGTAAAGAAAAAATAAACAACGTCCCGTACACCAATCACATTCTCGTAAAATGGAATAGCCTTACCCGTTGTTGTCTGCTTGTTCTCCGACTTGAGGTTGCTGTCGCCGATAAAAGGAATAACATTGAAGTCACCACCAATTAGTGGTGTCCAGCCCTTGGCCTTGTACACAGCAATGGAATTTGCCAGCTCCTCATGGAAGTTGGTTGTAATTGTGTCTGATGCGTGCAGGCCATGAACACACACAAGAAGCATTCCCCGTGACGGAATTGTGACAAAAGAGGCCCGCCGGCAGCTGGGTAGCCTTTCCAGACTGGCCTCCCCGAGCCATTTTTTTACCATTAGAACTGTATCGTAAATCCTTGTCTTTATGTCATCATCCTTGCATGGTGGTGCAGCGAAGATGTTGTATGCTGGGAAGCGCTTTTCAAGGTGGATGGCCGGATTTCCAGAGGACGTGAACTCTTGCAGCATTGCAATGTCAACACTGCGGTTACAAATGCCTCCATTACGCTTCAGAGCCTTGTCAAGTGTTGAAAGCTTTGAATGAATACCCGATTCCTTTACCATCCCACCCACGTTTTCCGTTTCCAGGCGCAGCTGCCGAAGGTTCTGTGAAAGAATGTGCAGATCTGGTATTCCAAGTGGCATGCTAGCATCCCCTGCAGAAGCCATTGCACGCACTACACGGCTCTTATGAAGGGCATTGATATCGATTTCACCAGAGTTCATGTTAAAAAATAGGTCAATAAAAAATTAAACTTGTTCAGAAGAAAAACAAAAAAATCAGCTTTTGTTGCATTTGCTGAGGATGTGCGTCGTCAATCCAAAGCACTGGATTCTGTGCCAACAGGGTTCAAGCCACTGCTTTACTGGAAAGCGCCTGATTTGCACTTGTATTTGTTGCAGCGTCACAGAAAAGCCTTCTGGCCTGGAGGAGAGCTCACCCAGGCACTTTGCAATTGGGGAGCACCCTTTTATGAAGTCGCCAACAATGAGAATTAGTTGGTGAATTTTCCTTGCCAATTAATGCTGAAAATCATTGATTTTCAGCATTAATTGGCAGTTTTCGACAGTGTCAAATTATTACAATTTAAACTGGTTAAGATTAAGATAAGAAACAGACAAAGGAAAAATAAAAGAAGGGTTTGACATTGGACAAAATGTTCCAAAATCAGAATTCACAAAGTTTTGCTTTTTAGCAACTGTTCTTCACGAAATTTTCAGCTTGGCCTAGCCGTGGTGATTTGGATTACAGATTGTGTGCGTCAAACAGGAAAATTTTTAAAGTGGTCTGTTACAGCAGCGTAGTAGTTAGGCATGATAGTCTTGCACAAGAAGATGTTTGGTCCAGTTCAGTATCAGTTCACGGTCAGCAGTATTCAGTTGTAGTAGCCCATTGTAGTAGTAATCCAATCAAGTAGTTGCCAATCTTAGTTTGTAGTAGTTAATTGCTACCGTTATAGTGTAGCTCATCTTTGTAGTTCACTCAAGTAGTGACCGAAATAGGCTGACATAGTTGTCCGTGGAGAGTTGTTGTTAGATGAAGGTGCCATTCGAGCGTCATTGTGTGTTGTCCACTCTGTCAGAAAAATAGCTGACAGCCACAGGTGTTGCCTGCGACGTCGGGTGCAAAAGAAGTCCCAAAATATATTGTGTATCCTCAGATTCGGTTGCCATTATATATAATGCACCCATGTGGTATGTCCCACCAAAGTCTGACAGCATCTGCCCTCGCCAGACCCTCACAGCAACACAGGCGCCATCAAAAAAAGGAAGCACAAAAAGGCAGCAAAAAGAGAACAGAAAGAGATGAGGTTCCAATGTATGTGGTGCGCCTGTGACATTTACCTTAATAATATTTCCGACCAATAGTGTTGTACCAGTATGGCTTGCCTGCGATTGATAACATGCACCAGCGTATGGGCCATCCCTGCTGTATCTCGGTAATGCCCTGCTTTATTTGAATTCGTAACTCGGCCAGTTCTTGGCCGACCTGGACGTGCTTGGGCTTGTTTAAAAGCTGCTGTCGACGCCGATCTAAATCCGGGCTCGGCGAAGTAATCCTATATTGCTCCGTCGCGTCCATCGTATCAAGTTAGGATAAAAATAGATTTCTTGAGCTCAAGGAAAAAAAGAGGAGAAATAATGAAAAGTAGCGGATTTAGGAATGATCAATGATGCCGTCATCATGCACGGATCTCACTGCGGCTGCTGACAGCCAGCGGTGCTTGTGCACTCTCGATTTTCTATAGCGGTGTAGTACTCTGCCAGTACTACTTTGAAATTATGTTTTGACGTTTGGTTTGTGGTGGTGTACACGGAAGCTTTTATTGTAATATAATTTTGGACAACAAGGATGCTAACGAGCTATCGTTAAAGAAAGTTTTACGCAATCAATGACGTGTTGATGGGTGACGTTTATTAATTATTTTAAAGAGGTTTAGTAAACTGGTTCTCTGTGGTTTCTGCTGCGGAGGTAACCGCAGCCTTTCTGATGAACTTTTCGGACGTGAGGTTGTGGGTTCGAAACCAACCCAAGACATGGTGCTTTAGCATCTTGGCTGAGTAGGCATGCTCATTTTTTGTTTTTTATAAAATTTATATTTTGCCTTTACTCTTTTTATAAAAAATAGCTCTTGGAGTAACAACAAGAATATATCTTTTTAGATTTGCTGTATATTAATATTGCAATGATTGTAAGAAATTTAAAATAATTTTGTGTAACTATAGGGCTAGTGGTATATAAGTTAATAAGTTGAAGATAATTTTATAATAACAACCTTTAAAATAAAGAGGAAAGCAAATAAAGCACATGCCTGCCTATCAACACCAGTCAACTTTTAGTAAAAAATAGTTTATTTCCTTGGTATTTTATCAGCAATTTCATGAGAAAATATTAGTGTTTTCCCAGGGTAACTGGTTTTCCCAGAATTATCCTACCTGGGAAAACTCCATGAATTTTGTCATCTCTGGGCAGAATATTCTTCACTACTTTTCAAAACATTTTCAATGGATTCCCAGCTTAAAATATTCACTTCTCCAAGATTATTAGAAGTTTTCTTACTGTAACTACTATATTATACATTTTAATTTGTAAGGAATTGGCCACAAATTTTGTATGCATTATTGATTATCCTAAATATAGTCTCTCAATAATTTAGCAATTTTCCTAAAACCTATCAATAGAACTATTGCTTTCACTTTAAATATTATGTATTACCATTTAGGTTATTTGATGTTTATTTATATAAAATGCTACTAGAAATCCACATGATATTTGCTATTAAACCCACCCAAGCAGAGTACAATACTGTGCACTAATAGATTGTGCTATGGAGGTTGAACAAAATGGTGTGGTTGAACAGCAAAAGTAGCTCTGGCCAGAGGTTGGAAATTTTCACCAAAAGCTCTGTCAAGATCCAACCCAGTTTTGGCTAAAGGGCCTATTAATTTTTAACTAACAAACAATGATTAACTAACAAACAATAGTTATCTATTGAATTCAAATAGGCCCCCTGAAACTGGGCCCGATCCTGAGGGAACTTTTGGTGAAAATGTCTCAGATCAATAAAGTGAGGTATAGGCCAGACCAGACAATTCACATCATGTTTCTTTTTTTCACTTGATGAGTTGCATTTATTTGGCCATGGCATTGGTGGTCGCTTATTGCAGACATTATTAAAGAGATTAAATATTAATGACAAGGATAATCTGGGTGAGGTATTGGTTATTGATAAAAATACTGCAAAAATGATTGAATATAATATTGGATTGGCCCACAAAATATATGGCTCTAATTTTGAATTGAAGGGTGGGTTCAGGGTCAGTCCAGTTTATCAACAATTTAGAAACAGGCATGCTATTTATTGCTCCAGTCATACAGGTGAATCATTTTTATATCATGTCTAAGGATTTGACACCAGCTATACCAGTTACGTTTGCTGACCCATCCAGTTTATTTTTGCACTAGACAACTCGTTTATTTCATAACAAATACAAACTTTACAACTATAAATACCCAAAAAAAAACATAACATTTGAAATGGAGATAAAAACGGCAAGCTTTAAAAACGCCAATAAAGCCAAAAAAACTCACAACAAAAAACGTAACGGGTCCGAGAAGAGCCAAAAAAATTCCCGGTTCTACAACCGGGTAACGTGCCTTTTACCGGGATCGAACCGGCGATCTTCCCGTTACAAGCGGGATGCCTTAACCACTTGGCCAAAAAGGCCACGAAGTAAGCGTCGATATGAATTGATTCTCTGTTGATGTAAGCAACATTTTATCATTATTTAATCGAAAGGTTATCAATAATTGAAAGGCTCTCTGTTGTTTTCATACTAGACTGCGCAAATAAATACTTTGATTCGGCAATGTAATCGTCTGATCTCTATCAGACTGCATAGTACCTGGCTGTTATAATAATGTCACTACTGCTCGAAATCTATGGCAGTATCATAAGCCATCATGAATAATTGACACAATAAAAATAATACACATGCAAGTATGCTGTGCGACAGACAATAACACTATTCATTTACATATAAAAGCATATGAATAGATATATTTCAATAAGCAAAGCTATGAAAATGGCTGGCCTACAGGCATACTGTATATATATATACCAAGTACATCATTTGCACCCTTCATTTGTTTAGTGCATTTCCATAAACAGTCATCACTGGACTGACAGTGGTGAGCTAGATGCCAACCCATGATGGTGGCCTCCATAAAACTGATGCACTTGATCAGGTGCAAGGCAAATTACAAAACTCTCCACCAGAAGGACAACAGGGATATTCACACTGGCGGCAAAAGCAAAAAAAAAACAGTACCAAGGTCTCCAGCTAGTTTCTTTTTGAAAACCTATTAACTGCCACAATACATATGTGCTGCCCACATACATTAGGAGCAATGCACATTAAATGCTTTCATCTTTTAAACAAGCTTGGATTAATTTAATTATTTCTCCAATACAACACAGGCATGATTTGGGAGATGATTTTGGAGAATCTACAAAAGAGGTGCTGCCCAGCAGAACAAGTTCCTCAATTTTTCTTAACTCCAATGTATAATTCATACCCACAGCTTTTAGTTACAACCCTCTGCTTACAAGGCAGAAACTCTAGCCACTGAGCATGTTATTTTCTTAATTTAAATAATAATAGCTTCTATGATAAACATTACTATGCAATGCAATACAAGTCATTTATGCACTTGGCTGTTGCCAGCATATCTACTTTGCATATCTAGCATTTTTGGAGCAATGCAGGTAGTCAATAAGGCTATTTATAATAATTGTTATGCAAGCTCCCAAATATATTCTACCTGTTTACAAGACAGGCGCCTTGCCACTTGGCCAAGTGGGCATTTTAATGCCGAGTTTTTAGCCTAGGTAGCTGCTTGTTAGTTTAATTATAGTGCATGCAGATAAACATAGACTTGCAGCTTTTTACAATATGTTACTTTAAATTATAGTGATGTTTTGGTAATTTTGTAAAACTTCAAAATGTGGCTGTTCTACTGGATTATGGCAATACTTGGCTACTCTTTTAGATTATTTAGCACTATTCTGAGTAAATTAAATGTAGGATGTGTGTGACAGCTGTTCTTTAAAAATTAAAAATATTATTATTATAGGGTGCAGATGCCTGGTGGACACAAGTACAGACATTGTAGAAACATAGTCACCTATAACTGCATTATTTGCTATAATAACAGTTTTTTTTTTTTGCTTTTGGGGGCTTGGTTGTTAGCCAAATAATTCACTTCCTTGGAGTGTAACTTTTATTAAGCTTAGGAATTTTAGTATTATGTGGTAATATGTTTAAATGCATATTGGAAAGTTCCATATATGTTTTATACAATTCTAACAACTGTCTTAATAATAATGGTAGATGACACAAGAAGTTTTGTGTTTACTAATAATATCAGTAAAAAGATATCATTGTGTCTAATCAAGACCCATTAAAGACAAAACCACAACACTGTTTTCTGGTAACAAATGAACTTTGTAAAAGCTTCAAATACACAAGCACCTTGAAACCACCCCTGAAGCAGCTTATTAGATTTCTATAAATTGACTGGCAGGATTACACCCATGACAGCCAAGAATATTAAAACATAAAAAAATATAAGGTAGGCTTACTTTTAATATATACATGTTGTTATATAACAATTACCAGAGCCATACGTATATCAGGGCTTAAGCAGTATAATTAGCATTCTAGTGTATAATTAATTATATAGCTACCACTATTAGATGATAATGTTTTAACTTTTAAAACAAATATATTTTGTTTAAAAATAATTGTCACCTATACCTCAATTTCATATTAGAAGATGGTTATTTTAGTGTTTTGGTCAACAATTAATAAATCAGCAGTGTAATAAGAAATGAATTCTTAAAGTGTGGTATTAAAGAATTAATTACCAATCTATTAAACAGTTTGAAATTATTTTTATAACAGCTTGACTCTACCCAATTATTATGTATCTTTAACACTAAAGCTTTAAATCTGTTGCATTTATTATAGATAATATGTTTTAGCTACCAAGTTAGTTGTGCATATGACATAGCACTATATATAAATTAGTGAAAGGAATATATAAAATATTCAATACATAACAAGTATTCTCTTTCAACTAAGTATATTAACAAACACTATATAATGCTATGTAGTTTAATAATGGATAGCATTGTTTTTATTTAATAATTTTGTCACGTTTTCACATGGATTGAATTCACATAATAACATACTAATTGGCAAATACATGTTTATGTAATGTAATAGTTTTAAATAGCAAGATACAATATGAGTATACAAACAGCAACAGCTTTGTAGCTCTTGTTTAATATATAATATTTTTATTTGCAGATAACAATAATTGTGTCTTTAAATATTCCATTATGCAAAATGAATTATCAAAAATACAAGTTTTACATTAGTTGTTACCATTCAAACAAAATTTTACATAATTATATTTCAATTGCTTTGCTAAATGCATTGGTTGCAACAATTATTGCCAAGTTCTGGTAAAATTATTACATACTAAAGTAAAAGCACAAGAAAATTGTGTTTATTGCTTTTGCCACTACTGATAAAAAATCACTGCAGCTTTGCTGCTAGAATCTAGCTTAATTATTTGAGTATAGCATTGCTATTTTTTGCTAGTCTGAAGAATTAACCTGTCTATATTATATGCATAGCTTCATTTTGGTGTAGTTCTGCAGTAAAAGTGTTAATAGTAATACTTTTAATCAGCCAATCCAGAGTTCATGGTTTATTGTTATGTAGTTTTCTACATGCTAATTTTGGTAGAAACATAATGAAATTACTCTTTTCTGATTGCTTATTGTTTGGAGCATCTTTACAATAACAGTTGCTATATTTACAATGCCCAGCTAAAATACAAAGCACAACCACGAATCTAATATTAAAATATTGGTTGTATTTGTCTCAGTTATATGTATCTTTTAGCAGTACACTTGCATAGTTTTACAGCATTGGAAATAGCTTAATACAAAGTTAATTCAGTAAAATATTCAATTAAAATAATTTTGCAGTGCAGCTACACATCTATTATTAAACCACTAGTTGTGTAATATTGAAAGCTAATAAAATAAGTTAGAAATAATTCATATTATAAACAACAATCTGGAAAGTATGAGAGCCATTAGAACAATGTTTTCAAACATTGGACTACCTTTATTAATGCAACTAGTATCAGAACTGAATAACCTTTGTGTGTTATACTTGTTAAGCAGATCAGTTTCACTCCATGGGGTGTCATAATGAACAGCATCATTATGTGCATCCAATTACATGCATGCAAGCAAGTACACAAATGTACAGTTACAGTTTATAGACATCTTGCTGCTTTACTCACACATACATCAGTGTATTCCTCTGTTTTGCCAAAGTATTCTATGCATATA